GAGCCAGTCCCCAACTCCGGGGACTTCCGGCCGGGGACTTTGGGAGGCAGTATACGCCGTGAAGTGGTTTGCGGCCTGCCAGTAAACCCAAAGCAGAAGAAGAAGAAGTGACGTCAGCGGCTTCATTTGCCTAATCCACCCCCAGGTTCAAAGAGTTCTCATGAACTAAGTTCACATGAACCTTTGTGGGAAAATTACTGCGGTGTGAATGCGCCTAATGGTATACTAAAATCCATGTGAAAAAAAATTGCTTCTCACTGTTCTCAGGTCAAATATTTATATGTGATTAAAAATGCGATTAATTTCGATTAATTAATTACAAAGCCTCTAATTAATTAGATTCATTTTTTTAATCGAGTCCCGGCCCTAATTATAATATAATAGTTAAATAATTAGTTTTTTTGCTCATTAAAGAGCCTGTGACACGAGTTTCCCCCATCATCCAAACCCATCAATTTGAGTAAATATTGTCCCCTTGAAAACCGTTACTGAACTGATTTTGGATATTTGTACTTTGATAACCATTAATCTGCCCTTCAATGTTGACCATTTTCTGGATCTTCTCGGGGATTCTTCAAGTCCCGCCAAATGACGTGTGACGTCATTGCGGGCACAGCACTCCAGCTGCACCGTTCAGGATCCCAGCATCTGCATGTCAACGCACGATGGCGCACACAGCAGAAAGCTCAGACAGCGATGACAGTTTAATTTTGAACATTTCTGAGAGCTCATATGAGGCTGAAGGATCGGTTTATGTTGTATCTGTTAGAAGTTTAGGAATTAGGTGCGTCAATATGGGCGATCATACGGTCATGTTGCCAGTGGTGGAATGGGACTAAAAATCATCCCGGGACTCTCGACCGGCCCACTTCGGTACCGCTAGTAAATTGTCAACGGGGGGAGTGGGGGATGTCAGGGGCGGCGGGTGCTGTAGATAGTAAATGTAAATATGTAAATATTTGTGTCACTGCATCCTCGTAAATTACAATTATAATGCAATGTCTGTGTCTTTGACATTAGCGCTGCCAGCCACCTGTGCCCTGTACTACGAAGCCAGTTCAACAGACCCTGGATATGTTTGAGTAACAAACAAACTAACAACAACAAACTAACAAACGAGATCTCACTAAGCGGTCCTACGACGCTGGTTATCAACTCGGTAAATCAAGCCAGGGTTTCTCTCACCAGCTGAGAGCGCGTTCACGTCTAAGACACGAGTGGATCTGACTTTAATTACATTTGTCTCGAGTGTTTCATCAACATAATGTGTTGCTTAAAATAATACTTCTGCATACAGTATGTGACACTGTAAGTGTTGCACGGCCAGATACGGCTGGAGAAGCTGACTGAGATAAGGAAATATATGATATATTATGATATTATATGATCGATGATCTGATTGATGATGTAATATGAATGATAAGTGCGACACGTCGGCGTCTTCTCTGCATACGGCAGTTTAAACTGTATTTCTTTTATCCTGTAATATGACTTGAGAGATTTAAACTCCGCACACTGAGTTGATCTCTTTTCTATAGACGCCGGAGGCGGGCAGCGTCAGGTAAAAAAAGTTATTTAGCCTTCCCAAACCTGAGCCTCACGCGCCGCCTATGGGGGATGTGCTAGCGACTTATCCGACCGGCCCACTTCGGTACCGGCCCATCGGGATTCGTCCCGATGGCCAGTCCGCCACTGCACCCAGCCCACGTAAACTGTCAACGGGGGAGCCTCGCTGCGGGGAAACGGTGGACCTAGTGTCCCGATCGGAGTGGGAATAATAATAATAATAATCCGTGCATTCTATCCATTATTTTCCCCAACATTGTGGTGAAAAAAACCACACGTTTAATCCATGTTGGTGTATTACAACTACAAAAAGCATCGGTTTGTTTTCTCATCAGGAAATGCAGACCGGCACAAACAAACGATTTTTAATCATCATTCTCACGATCATTTAATCTATCATATGTTTGCCGAATTGACATGAAAGCACTAATAAATAGTAGTTTCATCCACTTGAGTTTACAACTACAAAAATAATTGATTTGTTTTTATATCACATCCTACGGGAGGAAATTCAGTAGCTCTCACTACCGATTTTTAATCCTAATGTAATCATCATCTTCACCACGATCATTTATGTTTATGTTCGCCGAATTGACATGAAAGCACTGACAAATATGAATATACTGTAGTCAACTTCATTACAACGTTATTAACGTGCCTAAACTCAGTAATTCACCATTTCTACGCATGACAACACACTTTGTCCGTGTTTGGCTCTCTCGCCGCACAGTGAAGCGTTCCCGCATTGACGTCACTTCCGGCTTCCCCCAAAACTTCTAAATGAGTCGAAGGAATTTCCCCGCGATGTTCGAAATTATTTATATTTAACGGAACGGTATCGCTTTTTCTTTTTTAAACTGACGGTTCGAGATTACTAGTAGCCCAATATTTCATTGCACAACAGTTGTTGGGATGCTGTCACAGGCTCTTTAAGTAATCAATAACTGAATTTGATATATAGAGTAGGTTATCATACTTAAAATCCAACATTTAGATTTGACTAAATAAAAAGAAAAAACCAATAGTCTCTTAATTAAAAAATTGAGAGCCCAAGGGAGATTCGAACCCGGGTCTTAAGTGCCGCTTAAAGTTTACTGAGAAAAAAGTCTGTTATATATATACATATTTCTCAGTATGTATATCAACGGGACATTTGCCTGTCTTTTCCGCCATCAAAATGTACAAACGACACATCAAATCACATCTACAGACCAAGACGAAGCGAATGGAAGTACTCCCAGACTCCTAGCGTGTGAAAAACTTGTGCAAAGTATCCGCAAACGGAGCAGTGGCTGTGATGCTAGCTTTGCGGCTAGTGGTTAGCATTTTCAATGGAAATATACATCGAAACATCGTTTCAGTAAAAAACAAGGTCCCAGTTGGGGGACACACGACACATCAAATCACATCTACACATCAAGCCGAAGCGGTCGGACCTTCCTTTGTGCCGTAAAGGGCACCGTACAGCATGAAAACGTGACCTCTGACCTCGGTTTTGACCTTGTCGAACGTCGCAGGGGCCCCACATTTTCCAAGCGGGTTCCACACACGTTAAGCAACACACTCTCAAAGTCTCGGAGCGCCACGCACCTTTTTTCAATTTTTTTCATGTTCTACCCCTCCACCACAAGCCTGTCAGACCCTTAGCTTATGAGAGGATTTTGTGATAAAGTTTGACATTTAATTGAATAAACATTTCTGGGTGGGTTAGGGTTCCCAGATTCCTGATCTGGGCCCTATTTAGAAGACCCTGAATAAAAAATTAAGACCACATATTAGGTTGACGGACACCCCTCCCCCGTAAGTATAAGTACACAGCAAGTGAATACTCATGTTACTGTGCAATATGTGAAAAGTGGGACCCCATATTGGGTTGATGGACACCCCCCCATTAAGTATAAGTACACAGCAAGTGAATACATGTGTTACTGTGTAATATGTGGAAAGTGGGTCCCCATATTGGGTTGACGGACACCCCCCCCCCATAAGTACAAGTACACAGTAAATGAATACTCATGTTACTGAGCAATATGTGAAAAGTGGGACCCCATATTGGGTTGATGGACACCCCCCCCATTAAGTATAAGTACACAGCAAGTGAATACATGTGTTACTGTGTAATATGTGGAAAGTGGGACACCATATTGGGTTGACGGACACCCCCCCATAAGTACAAGTACACAGTAAGTGCATATTCGTGTTACTGTTTAATATATGGAAAGTGGGACCCCATATTGCCTTTGGGCCACCCCACCCATGCAGTATAAGTACACACTAGTGAGAAGAGTGCCATCTATTGTCCAATGCATGCATACACACTCATATGCTGTTTGTGTACTCATTTAGACTGGCAAGTGACGGTAAAAAGCCAAGACGGTCCCTTCTCCTTACCTATTGCAGATTCAGTCTTCCCAGCCTGGTGTAGGTCTACAATTTAGTTTCTGGTGTCCTTTGACAGCTCTTTGGTCTTGGCTATAGTGGAGTTTGGAGTGTGACTGTTTGAGGTTGTGGACAGGTGTCTTTTATACTGATAACGAGTTCAAACAGGTGCCATTAATACAGTTAACAAGTGGAGGACAGAGGAGGCTCTTAAAGAAGAAGTTACAGGTCTGTGAGAGCCAGAAATCTTGTTTGTTTGTAGGTGACCAAATACTTATTTTACCGAGGAATTTACCAATTAATTCATTAAAAATCCTACAATGTGATTTCCTGGATTTTTTTTCTCTCATTTTGTCTCTCATAGTTGAAGTGTACCTAGGATGAAAATTACCGGCCTCTCATCTTTTTAAGTGGGAGAACTTGCACAATTGGTGGCTGACTAAATACTTGTTTGCCCCACTGTATATATATGAATATATATATATAATATATATATACAATCTTACACTATGTAAAAACTCTGAAAAAGCTCCATAAAAACATCCTTCCTCTTCAGAAAAGAAAAAATGCAATACAAAATAAAATAAAATGAACAACTCCCTCCTGTAATGCTTTATTCTGATTGGTCGATTCGAAAAGTTCAGAGGTTGTTTACACCTGTTAACACACTGCTGTAAAACACAACATTTGCTTATTCCTTGCAATTTTTTTTAAAATAAAATGTGCAAAAATATTACTTATAGTGCACAGGATAAACATTTAAAGTGCTGTAAAGCAGAAGTACTTCGAATAAAACAGTTTTTCCATCAGTAAAATAATATGTGGGGATTGTCCACAGTTGCTTTGGATAAAAGCGTCTAACAAATGACATGTAACGTAATAAAGCAATTTTCAATCATGCCGATTTCCAGTTGTCGGGGTTTTTCTCCACTAATTGGATCCATTTTCTTTGTAGAAACCAGGCAGCTGGATATGGTTATAAAAACAAGGCAAATACAGAACATTTCCTAAAGCTGTAGAGAGTCTTTGTTAATTTTTATTGCAATAGTTGTACAATGTCAAAGTAGACGGCATATTCCACTTATTGGATGTGATTTTAAGTAGAAAACCTGCAGGAGGATATGGTTATTTCTAAGATGTGAGATTTATCTCTGCAAAATACAGACGAGAATATTTCTGAAGAACTACTTAAAACTTTGTATATTATACGTTTCTCAAAATAAGAAACTTTAAAATAAACATTGTTAAAATCCCTTTAAATGAGAAAAACATTTTTGAATTAACTCTCAAAATAAGAATCTTTAAAATAACATTAAACTTAATAAAAAACTTTTTTTTTAAATGCTACTTGGACCAATACAGGAATTGGAAGAAGCACACCTTCGATTTACAAACTATGAGACTTCAGAAAACATTCAAAGGACCTCGCAAATGTGTCGTCATGTTTGGCACATTTGTTATTAATAAAGCATTTTTTAACGGTGCCGATTTCAGTCGTCAGCAGGATATGGTTATTTTAGAAATGTACGTTTCTATCTGGCAAATACAGATAGAAAATAAATGCAGAAAATAAACTTTCTATTTTGAGTGACAGGTTTAGAAGATTGTGAAACCCTGAATTGGGTATACCAAGTTTATATTCTTGATTTTTCTTTTGAGGCTAAATTGTTATTAGAGTCCACCTTTTTACCATCTTGTTATAGTCCAGCACATAGAAGTGCATATGGACTTCAGACTAACCTGCAATAAAGCCTGCATTTGGAAGGAGGGCAAGGTTTTCTAATGAACATTTCTCAAAATATTGCACGTTTAATCTTCTCCCTTTTACTGACATGACCAATGTCTGCTAATCCTATGTAGTATGAGAGTTTTTAAAAGACTGTTCTAGTCCAGATGAGCTTTTATTGGACTGTTAAGGGAAGATGTATGCATGATAAGAGCCAAGCATTGCAATACAAACATTGGATTGACACGCTGTTATTTAAGAAATGTATAGACGTTTTATTATATTGCTAAGATAACGTCTCCGATATCAAGCTCTCCAAGGCAGTCGAAATATACGAGATGAATCTATGCAGTATTGAATATCTCCTCGCTCATCGTCCCGTTGAACTTTTACTTTTCATCGTCCCATTGAACTTTTCCTCGTCGCTCATCGTCCCGTTCAACAACTGCTCATCGCTCATCGTCCCGTTGAACTTTTACTTTTCATCGTCCCATTGAACTTTTCCTCGTCGCTCATCGTCCCGTTCAACTTTTCCTCGTCGCTCATCGTCCCGTTCAACTTTTCCTCGTTCCGTTCAACATCTAGTCGTCTACTTTATGGGTATCCAGGAGTACTGAAAAAACATTTGCGTCATAAATGATGGACGTCAAGATAATACATGATGTTCTCTAGACTGAAATCACAGCATGAATTCTGTAATAGTTCCTCAAGGGCTTGGTTACTTCATAAATCCTGTTTTTGTAAAAAAATGAGCGATGTTGGAAGTGAATTCAGCAACCAAACATTGATGCATTAACTTATAAGACATGCAAGTGGTTTGTTTTAGCTCGTATACACACGATTAGCTTGACATTGCTGTGTTTCAAATGAATCATACATATCACAGATTTCAGATCTTTTACACCACTTTTATGCGACACATACTGTTGTCTTTTTGGCTTTTAGAGCTCACCTTTGTGCTCATGCTGGACGCCCCCCGTCGTGCCGTTGTTCTGCTGGACGCCCCCCGTCGTGCCGTTGTTCTGCTGGACGCCCCCCGTCGTGCCGTTGTTCTGCTGGACGCCCCCCGTCGTGCCGTTGTTCTGCTGGACGCCCCCCGTCGTGCCGTTGTTCTGCTGAAATCCCCCCTTCGTGCCGTTGTCTCTGGGAACCAGGTTCTGCTGGACGCCCCCCGTCGTGCCGTTGTTCTGCTGGACGCCCCCCGTCGTGCCGTTGTTCTGCTGGACGCCCCCCGTCGTGCCGTTGTTCGGCTGGACGCCCCCCGTCGTGCCGTTGTTCGGCTGGACGCCCCCCGTCGTGCCGTTGTTCGGCTGGACGCCCCCCGTCGTGCCGTTGTCCATGGGAACAAGGTTCTGCTGGACGCCCCCCGTCGTGCCGTTGTTCTGCTGGACGCCCCCCGTCGTGCCGTTTTTCTGCTGGACGCCCCCCGTCGTGCCGTTTTTCTGCTGGACGCCCCCCGTCGTGCCGTTTTTTCTGCTGGACGCCCCCCGTCGTGCCGTTTTTCTGCTGGACGCCCCCCGTCGTGCCGTTTTTCTGCTGGACGCCCCCCGTCGTGCCGTTGTTCTGCTGGACGCCCCCCGTCGTGCCATTGTCCATGGGAACCAGGTTCTGCTGGACACCCCCCGTCGTTGCTTCGCCCCAAATGACGACCCGGTTCTGGACGCCCCCCGTCGTGCCGTTGTCCCTCGTTACGACCTGGTTCTGGACATTTGTTGTCTCGTTGACGCTCTGGGGCTTTTGTTCAGGATTCTGGTGACCAGACGCATCAGCTTCCACGTCATTGGTTTCCAGTTGTACTGAAAGAAAGAAGGATTGATTAACAAAATAAGAACCAAAATAAATCACGTGATGTTATACGTCGACTGAAATCACAACGTGAATTGTTCTGTAGTTTTCTTTTAATTCTTGCTTTTTTTTAATGTGACATTTAATAATATTGGGAGGGATGAAACCCTCTGTAATCGTCACACATGCAGAGCACACAGTGAAATGTGTTCTCTGCTTTTAACCCTTCCTAGCACCAGGAGTCTAGTACTAGGAGCAGTGGGCAGCCATTGCACAGCGCCCGGGGAGCAATGGGAGTGAGGGGGGGGAAGGTGGTTTTCCGGTGCCTTGCTCAAGGGCACCCCGGCAGGAAGTGAACTAGGACCTCTCCAAGCATCAGTCCACACTTCATTTTTAAGTCTGGTCAGGGACTTGAACCGGCAACCCTACGCCTCACAGTCCAATCCCCAACTGACTGAGCCACTGCCGGATTGAGGACCGTTTTTAAGATCAATTCTCAAAGTTATTCAATTTGGCACAACATTTCTCAAACGCTTGGCATCAACATGCACAATATATCATGGGATGGCCATCAAATACAAAAATCTTCCCAATTTCAAGTTTTTAACACCAGTTTAAAGCATTATCACCCCATAGTGTTCCTCAAGGGCTGGGTGTCAACTTGGTATAAGACATACAGATATCATAATGTTTTAAACCCTTTTATACACGGTTTAAATATCTTGAGTTCATCTCATATTTCCCAGCTTTCAGATCATTTTCACCACTTTAACACTGTTGACCTTTTAGTCTTTAGGGCTCACCTTCTCGAGCATCTTGGTCCAACATGGACTCCATCGACTGGAAAGGTGCAAAGGCTTTCTTTAAGGAGATCTCATTGGGGGACAGATCTGTAGGACACAGTATAATTAAAGGTCAGTGTCAGACAGAGAGAAGAAACACTGCATACAATCAAATCTTTTCAACTCTCAGTCTCCTCTGCAGCTTATATTCACCAGCTGGAAAACCAGAGACTGTGGACAGGAAACATGCTGTTATATCAAACATTATTCCTTCATCTTCAACACAATTATCAAACAGGTAAATACCTCTGGCCAGACAAACAGTCAGCACACAGACGAGCATCCAAACAGCTGCCATCTCTGCAGTTTTCCAAGAGAGTGTTGCCTGAGCACCAGGCAGCTTTAAAGGAGGGAAACCTCCAGCAGCTGCTACTGATCAGCACTGATTGTCTCTCTGCACAGAGGAAAACACCATTTATCTGAGATTAAACTCTGAGAATGAGGAGTTTTTCATGAAGCTTGTTGTGCATTTATGATTAGTAGAGACCATCATTTTAAATTCACATTAAATATTCATATATTGTTTTTTTACTTTTCTCCCTTTTACAGACATGCCAACTTTATATCAATCCCACCCATTACAAATCGTATATATTATATTTAAACATGTCTGCATGATTAGGGCCAAACCTTTCTAGACATACATATATATATGAATATATATATAATATATATATACAATCTGACACTATGTAAACACTCTGAAAAAGCTCCATAAAAACTTCATTCCTCTTCAGAAAAGAAAAAATGCAATACAAAATAAAATAAAATTAACAACTCTCTCCTGTAATACTTTATTCTGATTGGTCGATTCGAAAAGTTCAGAGGTTGTTTATACCTGTTAACACACTGCTGTAAAACACAACATGCCCATTTGCTTATTCCTTGCAACATTTTTTAAAATAAAATGTGCAAAAATGTAACTTATAGTGCACAGGATAAACATTTAAAGTGCTGTAAAGCAGAAGTACTTCAAATAAAACAGTTTTTCCATCAGTAAAAGAATATGTGGGGATTGTCCACAGTACTGAATGTATGTAAGTTGCTTTGGATAAAAGCGTCTAACAAATGACATGTAACGTAATAAAGCAATTTTCAATCGTGCCGATTTCCAGTTGTAGGGGTTTTTCTCCACTAATTGGATCTGTTTTCTTTGTAGAAACCAGGCAGCTGGATATGGTTATAAAAACAAGGCAAATACAGAACATTTCCTAAAGCTGTAGAGACAGGTTTAAATGATTGTGCATCCTTGATGGGAAAACCATGTTTTTATTCTCGAGTCTTTGTTAATTTTTATTGCAATAGTTGTACATTATTTATGTCAAAGTAGACGGCATATTCCACTTATTGGATGTGATTTTAAGTAGAAAACCTGCAGGAGGATATGGTTATTTCTAAGATGTGAGATTTATCTCTGCAAAATACAGACGAGAATATTTCTGAAGAACTACTTAAAACTTTGTATATTATACGTTTCTCAAAATAAGAAACATTAAAATAATCATTGTTAAAATCCCTTTAAATGAGAAAAACATTTTTGAATTAACTCTCAAAATAAGAATCTTTAAAATAACATTAAACTTAATAAAAAACTGTTTTTAAAATGCTACTTGGACCAATACAGGAATGGGAAGAATCACACCTTCGATTTACAAACTATGAGACTTCAGAAAACATTCAAAGGTCCTCGCAAATGTGTCGTCATGTTTGGCACATTTGTTATTAATAAAGCATTTTTTAACGGTGCCGATTTCAGTCGTCAGCAGAATATGTTTTTTTTTAGAAATGTAAGTTTCTATCTGGCAAATACAGATTGAAAATAAATGCAGAAAATAAACTTTCTATTTTGAGTGACAGGTTTAGAAGATTGTGAAACCCTGAATTGGGTATACCAAGTTTATATTCTTGACTTTTCTTTTGAGGCTAAATTGTTATTAGAGTCCACCTTTTTACCATCTTGTTATAGTCCAGCACATAGAAGTGCATACGGACTTCAGACTAACCTGCAATAAAGCCTGCATTTGGAAGGAGGGCAAGGTTTTCTAATGAACATTTCTCAAAATATTGCACGTTTAATCTTCTCCCTTTTACTGACATGACCAATGTCTGCTAATCCTATGTAGTATGAGAGTTTTTAAAAGACTGTTCTCGTCCAGATGAGCTTTTATTGGACTGTTAAGGGAAGATGTATGCATGATAAGAGCCAAGCATTGCAATACAAACATTGGATTGACACACTGTTATTTAAGAAATGTATAGACGTTTTATTATATTGCTAAGATAACGTCTCCGATATCAAGCTCTCCAAGGCAGTCGAAATATACGAGATGAATCTATGCAGTATTGAATATCTCCTCGCTCATCGTCCCGTTGAACTTTTACTTTTCATCGTCCCATTGAACTTTTCCTCGTCGCTCATCGTCCTGTTCAACTTTTCCTCGTCCCGTTCAACATCTGGTCGTCTACTTCATGGGTATCCAGGAGTACTGAAAAAACATTTGCGTCATAAATGATGGATGTCAAGATAATACATGATGTTCTCTAGACTGAAATCACAGCATGAATTCTGTAATAGTTCCTCAAGGGCTTGGTTACTTAATAAATCCTGTTTTTGTAAAAAAATGAGCGATGTTGGAAGTGAATTCAGCAACCAAACATTGATGCATTAACTTATAAGACATGAAAGTGGTTTGTTTTAGCTCGTATACACACGATTAGCTTGACATTGCTGTGTTTCAAATGAATCATACATATCACAGATTTCAGATCTTTTACACCACTTTTATGCGACACATACTGTTGTCTTTTTGGCCTTTAGAGCTCACCTTTGTGCTCATGCTGGACGCCCCCCGTCGTGCCGTTGTTCTGCTGGACGCCCCCCCGTCGTGCCGTTGTTCTGCTGGACGCCCCCCGTCGTGCCGTTGCTCTGCTGGACGCCCCCCGTCGTGCCGTTGTTCTGCTGAAAGCCCCCCTTTGTGCCGTTGTCTCTGGGAACCAGGTTCTGCTGGACGCCCCCCGTCGTGCCGTTGTTCTGCTGGACGCCCCCCTTCGTGCCGTTGTCTCTGGGAACCAGGTTCTGCTGGACGCCCCCCGTCGTGCCATTGTTCTGCTGGACGCCTCCCTTCGTGCCGTTGTTCTGCTGGACGCCCCCCTTCGTGCCGTTGTTCTGCTGGACGCCCCCCTTCGTGCCGTTGTTCTGCTGGACGCCCCCCGTCGTGCCGTTGTTCTGCTGGACGCCCCCCGTCGTGCCGTTGTCCATGGGAACAAGGTTCTGCTGGACGCCCCCCGTCGTGCCGTTGTTCTGCTGGACGCCCCCCGTCGTGCCGTTGTTCTGCTGGACGCCCCCCGTCGTGCCGTTGTTCTGCTGGACGCCCCCCGTCGTGCCGTTGTTCTGCTGGACGCCCCCCGTCGTGCCGTTGTTCTGCTGGACGCCCCCCGTCGTGCCGTTGTTCTGCTGGACGCCCCCCGTCGTGCCGTTGTTCTGCTGGACGCCCCCCGTCGTGCCGTTGTTCTGCTGGACGCCCCCCGTCGTGCCGTTATTCTGCTGGACGCCTCCCGTCGTGCCGTTGTTCTGCTGGACGCCCCCCGTCGTGCCATTGTCCATGGGAACCAGGTTCTGCTGGACACCCCCCGTCGTTGCTTCGCCCCAAATGACAAACCGGTTCTGGACGTCCCCAGTCGTGGAGTCTACCCCAATGACGACCCATTTTTGGACGTCCCCCTCCTTGGCCACTCCCCTAATGACGAGCCGGTTCTGGACAGCCTCTGCTGTGGCGGGTTCGCTAATGACTATCAGGTTCTGGACGCCCCCCGTCTTGGCTTTGTCCTTAATGATGACCAAGTTCTGGACGCCCCCCGCCGTGGCGTTTCCCCTAATGACGACCCGGTTCTGGAGGTCCTCAGTTGTGGAGTCGCCTCCTATGATGACCCATTTTAGGTCATGCCCCGCAGTGGAATTTCCCCTAATGACGACCCGGTTCTGGACGCCCCCCTCCGTGCCGTTGTCCCTCGTTACGACCTGGTTCTGGACATTTGTTGTCTCGTTGACGCTCTGGGGCTTTTGTTCAGGATTCTGGTGACCAGACGCATCAGCTTCCACGTCATTAGTTTCCAGTTGTACTGAAAGAAAGAAGGATTGATTAACGAAATAAGAACCAAAATAAATCACGTGATGTTATACGTCGACTGAAATCACAACGTGAATTGTGCTGTAGTTTTCTTTTAATTCTTGCTTTTTTTTAATGTGGCATTTAATAATATTGGGAGGGATGAAACCCTCTGTAATCGTCACACATGCAGAGCACAGTGAAATGTGTTCTCTGCTTTTAACCCTTCCTAGCACCAGGAGTCTAGTACTAGGAGCAGTGGGCAGCCATTGCACAGCGCCCGGGGAGCAATGGGAGTGAGGGGGGGAAGGGGGTTTTCCGGTGCCTTGCTCAAGGGCACCCCGGCAGGAAGTGAACTAGGACCTCTCCAAGCATCAGTCCACACTTCATTTTTAAGTCTGGTCAGGGACTTGAACCGGCAACCCTACGCCTCACAGTCCAATCCCCTACTGACTGAGCCACTGCCGGATTGAGGACCGTTTTTAAGATCAATTCTCAAAGTTATTCAATTTGGCACAACATTTCTCAAACGCTTGGCATCAACATGCACAATATATCATGGGATGGCCATCAAATACAAAAATCTTCCCAATTTCAAGTTTTAAAAACCAGTTTAAAGCATTATCACCCCATAGTGTTCCTCAAGGGCTGGGTGTCAACTTGGTATAAGACATACAGATATCATAATGTTTTAAACCCTTTTATACACGGTTTAAATATCTTGAGTTCATCTCATATTTCCCAGCTTTCAGATCATTTTCACCACTTTAACACTGTTGACCTTTTAGCCATTAGGGCTCACCTTCTCGAGCATCTTGGTCCAACATGGACTCCATCGACTGGAAAAGTTGAATGGCTTTCTTTAAGGAGATCTCATTGGGAGACAGATCTGTAGGACACAGTATAATTAAAGGTCAGTGTCAGACAGAGAGAAGAAACACTGCATACAATCAAATCTTTTCAACTCTCAGTCTCCTCTGCAGCTTGAAAACCAGAGACTGTGGACAGGAAACATGCTGTTATATCAAACATTATTCCTTCATCTTCAACACAATTATCAAACAGGTAAATACCTCTGGCCAGACAAACAGTCAGCACACAGACGAGCATCCAAACAGCTGCCATCTCTGCAGTTTTCCAAGAGAGTGTTGCCTGAGCACCAGGCAGCTTTAAATGAGGGAAACCTCCAGCAGCTGCTACTGATCAGCACTGATTGTCTCTCTGCACAGAGGAAAACACCATTTATCTGAGATTAAACTCTGAGAATGAGGAGTTTTTCATGGAGCTTATTGTGCATTTATGATTAGTAGAGACCATCATTTTAAATTCACATTAAATATTCATATATTGTTTTTTTACTTTTCTCCCTTTTACAGACATGCCAACTTTATATCAATCCCACCCATTACAAATCGTATATATTATATTTAAACATGTCTGCATGATTAGGGCAAAACCTTTCTAGACATACATATATATATGAATATATATATAATATATATATACAATCTGACACTATGTAAACACTCTGAAAAAGCTCCATAAAAACTTCATTCCTCTTCAGAAAAGAAAAAATGCAATACAAAATAAAATAAAATTAACAACTCTCTCCTGTAATACTTTATTCTGATTGGTCGATTCGAAAAGTTCAGAGGTTGTTTATACCTGTTAACACACTGCTGTAAAACACAACATGCCCATTTGCTTATTCCTTGCAACATTTTTTAAAATAAAATGTGCAAAAATATAACTTATAGTGCACAGGATAAACATTTAAAGTGCTGTAAAGCAGAAGTACTTCAAATAAAACAGTTTTTCCATCAGTAAAAGAATATGTGGGGATTGTCCACAGTACTGAATGTATGTAAGTTGCTTTGGATAAAAGCGTCTAACAAATGACATGTAACGTAATAAAGCAATTTTCAATCGTGCCGATTTCCAGTTGTAGGGGTTTTTCTCCACTAATTGGATCTGTTTTCTTTGTAGAAACCAGGCAGCTGGATATGGTTATAAAAACAAGGCAAATACAGAACATTTCCTAAAGCTGTAGAGACAGGTTTAAATGATTGTGCATCCTTGATGGGAAAACCATGTTTTTATTCTCGAGTCTTTGTTAATTTTTATTGCAATAGTTGTACATTATTTATGTCAAAGTAGACGGCATATTCCACTTATTGGATGTGATTTTAAGTAGAAAACCTGCAGGAGGATATGGTTATTTCTAAGATGTGAGATTTATCTCTGCAAAATACAGACGAGAATATTTCTGAAGAACTACTTAAAACTTTGTATATTATACGTTTCTCAAAATAAGAAACTTCAAAATAAACATTGTTAAAATCCCTTTAAATGAGAAAAACATTTTTGAATTAACTCTCAAAATAAGAATCTTTAAAATAACATTAAACTTAATAAAAAACTGTTTTTAAAATGCTACTTGGACCAATACAGGAATGGGAAGAATCACACCTTCGATTTACAAACTATGAGACTTCAGAAAACATTCAAAGGTCCTCGCAAATGTGTCGTCATGTTTGGCACATTTGTTATTAATAAAGCATTTTTTAACGGTGCCGATTTCAGTCGTCAGCAGAATATGGTTTTTTTTAGAAATGTAAGTTTCTATCTGGCAAATACAGATTGAAAATAAATCCAGAAAATAAACTTTCTATTTTGAGTGACAGGTTTAGAAGATTGTGAAACCCTGAATTGGGTATACCAAGTTTATATTCTTGACTTTTCTTTTGAGGCTAAATTGTTATTAGAGTCCACCTTTTTACCATCTTGTTATAGTCCAGCACATAGAAGTGCATATGGACTTCAGACTAACCTGCAATAAAGCCTGCATTTGGAAGGAGGGCAAGGTTTTCTAATGAACATTTCTCAAAATATTGCACGTTTAATCTTCTCCCTTTTACTGACATGACCAATGTCTGCTAATCCTATGTAGTATGAGAGTTTTTAAAAGACTGTTCTAGTCCAGATGAGCTTTTATTGGACTGTTAAGGGAAGATGTATGCATGATAAGAGCCAAGCATTGCAATACAAACATTGGATTGACACGCTGTTATTTAAGAAATGTATAGACGTTTTATTATATTGCTAAGATAACATCTCCGATATCAAGCTCTCCAAGGCAGTCGAAATATACGAGATTAATCTATGCAGTATTGAATATCTCCTCGCTCATCGTCCCGTTGAACTTTTACTTTTCATCGTCCCATTGAACTTTTCCTCGTCGCGTTCAACTTTTCCTCGTCCCGTTCAACATCTGGTCGTCTACTTCATGGGTATCCAGGAGCACTGAAAAAACATTTGCGTCATAAATGATGGACGTCAAGATAATACATGATGTTCTCTAGACTGAAATCACAGCATGAATTCTGTAATAGTTCCTCAAGGGCTTGGTTACTTAATAAATCCTGTTTTTGTAAAAAAATGATCGATGTTGGAAGTGAATTCAGCAACCAAACATTGATGCATTAATTTATAAGACATGCAAGTGGTTTGTTTTAGCTCGTATACACACGATTAGCTTGACATTGCTGTGTTTCAAATGAATCATACATATCACAGATTTCAGATCTTTTACACCACTTTTATGCGACACATACTGTTGTCTTTTTGGCCTTTAGAGCTCACCTTTGTGCTCATGCTGGACGCCCCCCGTCGTGCCGTTGTTCTGCTGGACGCCCCCCGTCGTGCCGTTGTTCTGCTGGACGCCCCCCGTCGTGCCGTTGTTCTGCTGGACGCCCCCCTTCGTGCCGTTGTTCTGCTGGACGCCCCCCTTCGTGCCGTTGTCTCTGGGAACCAGGTTCTGCTGGACGCCCCCCGTCGTGCCGTTGTTCTGCTGGACGCCCCCCCGTCGTGCCGTTGTTCTGCTGGACGCCCCCCCGTCGTGCCGTTGTTCTGCTGGACGCCCCCCTTCGTGCCGTTGTCTCTGGGAACCAGGTTCTGCTGGACGCCCCCCGTCGTGCCGTTGTTCTGCTGGACGCCCCCCGTCGTGCCGTTGTTCTGCTGGACGCCCCCCGTCGTGCCGTTGTTCTGCTGGACGCCCCCGTCGTGCCGTTGTTCTGCTGGACGCCCCCCGTCGTGCCGTTGTTCTGCTGGACGCCCCCCGTCGTGCCGTTGTTCTGCTGGACGCCCCCCGTCATGCCGTTGTTCTGCTGGACGCCCCCCGTCGTGCCGTTGTCCATGGGAACCAGGTTCTGCTGGACACCCCCCGTCGTTGCTTCGCCCCAAATGACAAACCGGTTCTGGACGTCCCCAGTCGTGGAGTCTACCCCAATGACGACCCATTTTTGGACGTCCCCCTCCTTGGCCACTCCCCTAATGACGAGCCGGTTCTGGACAGCCTCTGCTGTGGCGGGTTCGCTAATGACTATCAGGTTCTGGACGCCCCCCGTCTTGGCTTTGTCCTTAATGATGACCAAGTTCTGGACGCCCCCCGCCGTGGCGTTTCCCCTAATGACGACCCGGTTCTGGACGTCCTCAGTTGTGGAGTCGCCTCCTATGATGACCCATTTTAGGTCATGCCCCGCAGTGGAATTTCCCCTAATGACGACCCGGTTCTGGACGCCCCCCTCCGTGCCGTTGTCCCTCGTTACGACCTGGTTCTGGACATTTGTTGTCTCGTTGACGCTCTGGGGCTTTTGTTCAGGATTCTGGTGACCAGACGCATCAGCTTCCACGTCATTGGTTTCCAGTTGTACTGAAAGAAAGAAGGATTGATTAACGAAATAAGAACCAAAATAAATGACGTGATGTTATACGTCGACTGAAATCACAACGTGAATTGTGCTGTAGTTTTCTTTTAATTCTTGCTTTTTTTTAATGTGGCATTTAATAATATTGGGAGGGATGAAACCCTCTGTAATCGTCACACATGCAGAGCACAGTGAAATGTGTTCTCTGCTTTTAACCCTTCCTAGCACCAGGAGTCTAGTACTAGGAGCAGTGGGCAGCCATTGCACAGCGCCCAGGGAGCAATGGGAGTGAGGGGGGGGGGGAAGGGGGTTTTCCGGTGCCTTGCTCAAGGGCACCCCGGCAGGAAGTGAACTAGGACCTCTCCAAGCATCAGTCCACACTTCATTTTTAAGTCTGGTCAGGGACTTGAACCGGCAACCCTACGCCTCACAGTCCAATCCCCTACTGACTGAGCCACTGCCGGATTGAGGACCGTTTTTAAGATCAATTCTCAAAGTTATTCAATTTGGCACAACATTTCTCAAACGCATGGCATCAACATGCACAATATATCATGGGATGGCCATCAAATACAAAAATCTTCCCAATTTCAAGCTTTTAAAACCAGTTTAAAGCATTATCACCCCATAGTGTTCCTCAAGGGCTGGGTGTCAACTTGGTATAAGACATACAGATATCATAATGTTTTAAACCCTTTTATACACGGTTTAAATATCTTGAGTTCATCTCATATTTCCCAGCTTTCAGATCATTTTCACCACTTTAACACTGTTGACCTTTTAGCCATTAGGGCTCACCTTCTCGAGCATCTTGGTCCAACATAGACTCCATCGACTGGAAAAGTTGAATGGCTTTCTTTAAGGAGATCTCATTCGGAGACAGATCTGTAGGACACAGTATAATTAAAGGTCAGTGTCAGACAGAGAGAAGAAACACTGCATACAATCAAATCTTTTCAACTCTCAGTCTCCTCTGCAGCTTATATTCACCAGCTGGAAAACCAGAGACTGTGGACAGGAAACATGCTGTTATATCAAACATTATTCCTTCATCTTCAACACAATTATCAAACAGGTAAATACCTCTGGCCAGACAAACAGTCAGCACACAGACGAGCATCCAAACAGCTGCCATCTCTGCAGTTTTCCAAGAGAGTGTTGCCTGAGCACCAGGCCGCTTTAAAGGAGGGAAACCTCCAGCAGCTGCTACTGATCAGCACTGATTGTCTCTCTGCACAGAGGAAAACACCATTTATCTGAGATTAAACTCTGAGAATGAGGAGTTTTTCATGGAGCTTGTTGTGCATTTATGATTAGTAGAGACCATCATTTTAAATTCACATGAAATATTCATATATTGTTTTTTTACTTTTCTCCCTTTTACAGACATGCCAACTTTATATCAATCCCACCCATTACAAATCGTATATATTATATTTAAACATGTCTGCATGATTAGGGCCAAACCTTTCTAGACATACATATATATATGAATATATATATAATATACATATACAATCTGACACTATGTAAACACTCTGAAAAAGCTCCATAAAAACTTCATTCCTCTTCAGAAAAGAAAAAATGCAATACAAAATAAAATAAAATTAACAACTCTCTCCTGTAATACTTTATTCTGATTGGTCGATTCGAAAAGTTCAGAGGTTGTTTATACCTGTTAACACACTGCTGTAAAACACAACATGCCCATTTGCTTATTCCTTGCAACATTTTTTAAAATAAAATGTGCAAAAATATAACTTATAGTGCACAGGATAAACATTTAAAGTGCTGTAAAGCAGAAGTACTTCAAATAAAACAGTTTTTCCATCAGTAAAAGAATATGTGGGGATTGTCCACAGTACTGAATGTATGTAAGTTGCTTTGGATAAAAGCGTCTAACAAATGACATGTAACGTAATAAAGCAATTTTCAATCGTGCCGATTTCCAGTTGTAGGGGTTTTTCTCCACTAATTGGATCTGTTTTCTTTGTAGAAACCAGGCAGCTGGATATGGTTATAAAAACAAGGCAAATACAGAACATTTCCTAAAGCTGCAGAGACAGGTTTAAATGATTGTGCATCCTTGATGGGAAAACCATGTTTTTATTCTCGAGTGTTTGTTAATTTTTATTGCAATAGTTGTACATTATTTATGTCAAAGTAGACGGCATATTCCACTTATTGGATGTGATTTTAAGTAGAAAACCTGCAGGAGGATATGGTTATTTCTAAGATGTGAGATTTATCTCTGCAAAATACAGACGAGAATATTTCTGAAGAACTACTTAAAACTTGTATATTATACGTTTCTCAAAATAAGAAACTTCAAAATAAACATTGTTAAAATCCCTTTAAATGAGAAAAACATTTTTGAATTAACTCTCAAAATAAGAATCTTTAAAATAACATTAAACTTAATAAAAAACTGTTTTTAAAATGCTACTTGGACCAATACAGGAATGGGAAGAATCACACCTTCGATTTACAAACTATGAGACTTCAGAAAACATTCAAAGGTCCTCGCAAATGTGTCGTCATGTTTGGCACATTTGTTATTAATAAAGCATTTTTTAACGGTGCCGATTTCAGTCGTCAGCAGAATATGTTTTTTTTAGAAATGTAAGTTTCTATCGGGCAAATACAGATTGAAAATAAATGCAGAAAATAAACTTTCTATTTTGAGTGACAGGTTTAGAAGATTGTGAAACCCTGAATTGGGTATACCAAGTTTATATTCTTGACTTTTCTTTTGAGGCTAAATTTTTATTATAGACCACCTTTTTACCATCTTGTTATAGTCCAGCACATAGAAGTGCATACGGACTTCAGACTAACCTGCAATAAAGCCTGCATTTGGAAGGAGGGCAAGGTTTTCTAATGAACATTTCTCAAAATATTGCACGTTTAATCTTCTCTCTTTTACTGACATGACCAATGTCTGCTAATCCTATGTAGTATGAGAGTTTTTAAAAGACTGTTCTAGTCCAGATGAGCTTTTATTGGACTGTTAAGGGAAGATGTATGCATGATAAGAGCCAAGCATTGCAATACAAACATTGGATTGACACGCTGTTATTTAAGAAATGTATAGACGTTTTATTATATTGCTAAGATAACGTCTCCGATATCAAGCTCTCCAAGGCAGTCGAAATATACGAGATGAATCTATGCAGTATTGAATATCTCCTCGCTCATCGTCCCGTTGAACTTTTACTTTTCATCGTCCCATTGAACTTTTCCTCGTCGCTCATCGTCCCGTTCAACTTTTCCTCGTCCCGTTCAACATCTGGTCGTCTACTTCATGGGTATCCAGGAGTACTGAAAAAACATTTGCGTCATAAATGATGGACGTCAAGATAATACATGATGTTCTCTAGACTGAAATCACAGCATGAATTCTGTAATAGTTCCTCAAGGGCTTGGTTACTTCATAAATCCTGTTTTTGTAAAAAAATGAGCGATGTTGGAAGTGAATTCAGCAACCAAACATTGATGCATTAACTTATAAGACATGAAAGTGGTTTGTTTTAGCTCGTATACACACGATTAGCTTGACATTGCTGTGTTTCAAATGAATCATACATATCACAGATTTCAGATCTTTTACACCACTTTTATGCGACACATACTGTTGTCTTTTTGGCCTTTAGAGCTCACCTTTGTGCTCATGCTGGACGCCCCCCGTCGTGCCGTTGTTCTGCTGGACGCCCCCCGTCGTGCCGTTGTTCTGCTGGACGCCCCCCGTCGTGCCGTTGTTCTGCTGGACGCCCCCCGTCGTGCCGTTGTTCTGCTGAAAGCCCCCCTTCGTGCCGTTGTTCTGCTGAAAGCCCCCCTTCGTGCCGTTGTTCTGCTGGACGCCCCCCGTCGTGCCGTTGTTCTGCTGGACGCCCCCCGTCGTGCCGTTGTTCTGCTGGACGCCCCCCGTCGTGCCGTTGTCTCTGGGAACCAGGTTCTGCTGGACGCCCCCCCGTCGTGCCGTTGTTCTGCTGGACGCCCCCCGTCGTGCCGTTGTTCTGCTGGACGCCCCCCGTCGTGCCGTTGTTCTGCTGGACGCCCCCCGTCGTGCCGTCGTGCCGTTGTCTCTGGGAACCAGGTTCTGCTGGACGCCCCCCGTCGCGCCGTTGTTCTGCTGGACGCCCCCCTTCGTGCCGTTGTTCTGCTGAAATCCCCCCTTCGTGCCGTTGTCTCTGGGAACCAGGTTCTGCTGGACGCCCCCCGTCGTGCCGTTGTTCTGCTGGACGCCCCCCGTCGTGCCGTTGTTCTGCTGGACGCCCCCCGTCGTGCCGTTGTTCTGCTGGACGCCCCCCGTCGTGCCGTTGTTCTGCTGGACGCCCCCCGTCGTGCCGTTGTTCTGCTGGACGCCCCCCGTCGTGCCGTTGTTCTGCTGGACGCCCCCCGTCGTGCCGTTGTCCATGGGAACCAGGTTCTGCTGGACACCCCCCGTCGTTGCTTCGCCCCAAATGACAAACCGGTTCTGGACGTCCCCAGTCGTGGAGTCTACCCCAATGACGACCCATTTTTGGACGTCCCCCTCCTTGGCCACTCCCCTAACGACGATCCGGTTCTGGACAGCCTCTGCTGTGGCGGGTTCGCTAATGACGATCAGGTTCTGGACGCCCCCCGTCTTGGATTTGTCCTTAATGATGACCAAGTTCTGGACGCCCCCCGCCGTGGCGTTTCCCCTAATGACGACCCGGTTCTGGACGTCCTCAGTTGTGGAGTCGCCTCCTATGATGACCCATTTTAGGTCATGACCCGCAGTGGAATTTCCCCTAATGACGACCCGGTTCTGGACTCCCCCCTCCGTGCCGTTGTCCCTCGTTACGACCTGGTTCTGGACATTTGTTGTCTCGTTGACGCTCTGGGGCTTTTGTTCAGGATTCTGGTGACCAGACGCATCAGCTTCCACGTCATTGGTTTCCAGTTGTACTGAAAGAAAGAAGGATTGATTAACAAAATAAGAACCAACATAAATCACGTGACGTTATACGTCGACTGAAATCACAGCGTGAATTGTTCTGTAGTTTTCTTTTAATTCTTGCTTTTTTTAATGTGGCATTTAATAATATTGGGAGGGATGAAACCCTCTGTAATGGTCACACATGCAGAGCACACAGTGAAATGTGTTCTCTGCTTTTAACCCTTCCTAGCACCAGGAGTCTAGTACTAGGAGCAGTGGGCAGCTATTGCACAGCGCCCGGGGAGCAATGGGAGTAAGGGGGGGGAAGGGGGTTTTCCGGTGCCTTGCTCAAGGGCACCCTGGCAGGAGGTGAACTAGGACCTCTCCAAGTATCAGTCCACACTCCATCTTTAGATCTGGTTAGGGACTTGAACCGGCGACCCTACGGCTCACAGTCCAATCCCCTACTGACTGAGCCACTGCCGGATTGAGGACCGTTTTTAAGATCAATTCTCAAAGTTATTCAATTTGGCACGACATTTCTCAAACGCATGGCATCAACATGCACACTACATCATGGGATGGCCATCAAATACAAAAATCTTCCCAATTTCAAGTTTTAAAACCAGTTTAAAGCATTATCACCCCATAGTGTTCCTCAAGGGCTGGGTGTCAACTTGGTATAAGACATACAGATATCATAATGTTTTAAACCCTTTTCTACACGGTTTAAATATCTTTAGTTCATCTTATATTTCCCAGCTTTCAGATCATTTTCACCACTTTAACACTGTTGACCTTTTAGTCTTTAGGGCTCACCTTCTCGAGCATCTTGGTCCAACATGGACTCCATCGACTGGAAAGGTGCAAAGGCTTTCTTTAAGGAGATCTCATTGGCAGACAGATCTGTAGGACACAGTATAATTAAAGGTTAGCGTCAGACAGAGAGAAGAACCGCTGCATAAAATCAAATGTTTTCAACTCTCAGTCTCCTCTGCAGCTTATATTCACCAGCTGGAAAACCAGAGACTGTGGACAGGAAACATGCTGTTAAATCAAATATTACTCCTTCATCTTCAACACAATTATCAAACAGGTAAATACCTCTGGCCAGACAAACAGTCAGCACACAGACGAGCATCCAAACAGCTGCCATCTCTGCAGTTTTCCAATAGAGTGTTGCCTGAGCACCAGGCAGCTTTAAAGGAGGGAAACCTCCAGCAGCTGCTACTGATCAGCACTGATTGTCTCTCTGCACAGAGGAAAACACCATTTATCTGAGATTAAACTCTGGGAATGAGGAGTTTTTCATGGAGCTTGTTGTGCATTTATGATTAGTAGAGACCATCATTTTAAATTCACATTAAATATTCATATAATGTTTTTTTTACTTTTCTCCCTTTTACAGACATGCCAACTTTATATCAATCCCACCCATTACAAATCGTATCTATTATATTTAAATATGTCTTTAGTGATGGCGAGATGAAGCCTTATGAAGCTTTGAAGCTTTCCAGCCAATTGGTTCGCAAAAGGCTTCATCTCATGAGGCTTCATCATGGGCTTCATTTGAACACAAACCCCCCTGTTGGTCAAAGTGTGTAAAACAGGCAGATTGGACATCTCAACAGTGTGCTCTATCTCATACCGAGTTCCCAATGAGTAAAGCCTTAGAATAACTCTAAACAACGAACATTAAATCATATTTTCATGTTAAAAATATTGTATTTATTCCAGTTTAATGATTGTGATTGAAAAGCCTAAGGATGCTGGTAAACATTGCAAAGAGGGATTTGTATTCCTTAATAATATTCATAAACGTAACCATGTTGTAGCCTGAGAAAGGCTAAACCATATCAAAGAATACATTTATTAACTACATTATCTAATTTAGTTGTAGCTTTTATAAACAACAAAAAAGACGTATTGTTCAGTCTTTGAACCAGGGACCCTGCGGTCATGAGTCAACTGTTTTCCAGCTGAGCCACAGCACACACACTAAAGCTCCCTGAAAACACTGCAAGATATGTATTCCTGTATTTATTCATGTTTTTATTGATGTTTTTATTCCTACATTTATTTATGCTTGTATCTATTTATACTTATGACATGTTCCGACCTCTATATAAGTGAGGGTCTGAGCTCTCTTGATTCCATCGTGTCACCGGACCCGGGTACAGGAGGGGTAATATGGTTGTTGTTATACATCCATGGGTATTATGAGCGTTGTGGTTCAACGGTTCAACCGATCTGAATGGCTTCCTGAAGCAGTCACGTGGTATCGACAGGCAGCGAGGCTTCGTTTGTCATCGATGACGTCACTGGCCCAAAACGATACAAGCCTCGATACAAGGTTCACAAAAAGCTTCGGGGATTACTCGACACACGCTCCGAAGCCTCGGCGCAATACGTAACATCATTACATGTCTGCATGATTAGCGCCAAACCTTTCTAGACATACACATACAGTGGTGCAAAAAAGTATTTAGTCAGCCACCAATTGTGCAAGTTCTCCCACTTAAAAAGATGAGAGAGGCCTGTAATTTTCATCCTAGGTACACCTTAACTATGAGAGACAGAATGAGGAAAAAAATCCAGAAAATCACATTGTCTGATTTTTAAAGAATTTATTAGCACATTATGGTGGAAAATAAGTATTTGGTCAATAACAAAAGTTCATCTCAATACTTTGTTATATACCCTTTGATGGCAATGACAGAGGTCAAACATTTTCTGTAAGTCTTCACAAGGTTTTCACACACTGTTGCTGGTATTTTGGCCCATTCCTCCATACAGATCTCCTCTAGAGCAGTGATGTTTTGGGGCTGTCGCTGGGCAACATGGACTTTCAACTCCCTCCAAATATTTTCTATGGGGTTGAGATCTGGAGACTGGCTAGGCCACTCCAGGACCTTGAAATGCTTCTTATGAAGCCACTCCTTCGTTGCCTGGACGTTGTGTTTGGGATCATTGTCATGCTGAAAGACCCAGCCACATCTCATCTTCAATGCCCTTGCTGATGGAAGGAGGTTGTCACTCAAAATCTCACGATACATGGCCCCATTCATTCTTTCCTTTACACGGATCAGTCGTCCTGGTCCCTTTGCATAAAAACAGCCCCAAAGCATGATGTTTCCACCCCCATGTTTCACAGTAGGTGTTCTTTGGATGCAACTCAGCATTATTTATCCTCAAAACACGTCTAGTTGAGTTTTTACCAAAAAGTTCTATTTTGGTTTCATCTGACCATATGACATTCTCCCAATCCTCTTCTGGATCATCTAAATGCTCTCTAGCAAACTTCAGATGGGCCTGGACATGTACTGGCTTAAGCAGGGGGACACGTCTGGCACTGTAGAATTTGCGTAGTGTGTTACTGATGGTAGCCTTTGTTACTTTGGTCCCAGCTCTCTGCAGGTCATTGACTAGGTCCCCCCGTGTGGTTCTGGGATTTTTGCTCACCGTTCTTGTGAGGGGGGTGTATTCAACCCAATATGGGTTCTCACTTACCAAATATTTGTCACGTGGGGGGGGGTGTCCGTCAACCAAATACGGGGTCCCACTTTTCGCGTATATGTATTGATGTACTTATGGGGGGGGGGGGGGGGGGGGGGGGTGTCCGTCAACCCACATCTCAGGGGAGGCGCTCTCCGTGGTGCTGAACCCAGGCCACTTGCAGATATACCTATGGGGATTGTGGCGATGTCCCACATCTCAATATGGAAGTCCACTTGTAGATCCCACATCTCAATATGGATACCCACTTGCCTGGGGGTCCCACAAGTCAATATGAGAGCCCACTTCAGGGCTCCCACATCTCAATATGGAAGCCCACTTGCAGTAATACCTATGGGGATTGGGGCGATGTCCCACATCTCAATATGGAAGCCCACTTGTAGATCCCACATCTCAATATGGAAGCCCACTTGCAGATATACCTATGGGGATTGGGGTGATGTCCCACATCTCAATATGGAAGCCCACTTCTCAATATTATTAATAATTCCAAAATAATAACATTAGTTTTTATAACTATTAAATATGCAGTAATGGGCCCCCATATTGACTTGTGGACAGTTAGTGTCCACATATAAAAATGAATTCAAGGGAACTTAAGATTGAGTGCCAAGGGTGAGAGTCGAACCCCGCTCTACCACACCAAGGACACAAGGAGCGACTCCCATTCCATTGCCCCACAAGTGGCGCTGAAGCTTATTGAACAAAAGTATTATATATAGACTCCACTATAAAGTAAAAAGACATTTCTCTATCGTTTTGGCGATCAAATTTAACAAAAAAACACATCAAATCACATCTACAAATCAATACGAAGCTAATGAAACAACTCTCAGACTACTAGCGTGTTTACAAGTTTGAAAACGTAGCAATGGCTTTTCACATCACACCATTGTGTGATATATGATTAATATGATGAAATGAATGTGTATAATGTTCTTAAATGTTCCCAATGATTGTTCTTATAATGTTTCTTAAATGTTTTTGTATAAATGTATTTGTTCTGCTATATAATATGGAGAGTCTGACAGGAGTTTCGAACCCGGGTCTCCCGTAGCAAGGGGCGACACCCGGTCGCCTAAAGCTTATAGCTGTATAGTCTATTATAAACATTCTGAACGGCACATTTACCAATCAAAAAAAATTATCAAAATGTACAAACGACACATCAAATCAAATCTACAGATGAAGAAAAAAACCTGAAGTATATATATATATCTCTCTATAGTCCCAATATATTTGAACTATCTGAACTCTATCTATGGAGCTAATTTCCTGCCATAATTCCACAAACAAACTAAACAGGTTTTACAAATGCCTCATGATTCACTAACAAACACAATGTGGTTTGCAAATACAAAACACCATCTACAAACTAATGCATTTAGTTTGGCAAAGAAAAAACGTATCTATCAAACAAACACATAACATTTTTCTAATAAATCATGTTTCAGAGACAAATTCAGCATAGGTTTTACAAGTACACAACTTTTTTTTACAACTACAACACTTTTTTTTACAAGTACAAAACTTGTTTTTACAACTACAAAACGTTTTCTTCTCACGGCGGAATATTACTGCCAAAAGTCACGTGACTTTTGGCAGTAATATTCCGCCGTGGCTGGCACATGCTCCACGGCAGCAGGGGGTGCTACTGAGTCCATTGGGGAAGGCGGGAGCCTCCCGCCGGGAGGTTGAGCAGAGCATGGAACAGCCCTTGCCAGCCTGATGACAGTGGTGATTCTAGCGATCCAGCAATCTGGGTCAGTGTTTGAACAAGGTGAATTTAGCGATCACAACGAAAACAGCCAAGACACATATTGAGCCCAGAAAATGAATGTTATTAAGGCTGTACATATAATAAGCCTTTGTCTAAAATGGACAACATTGTAACTAAGGAGATTTAAACCACACAGCGATTCTGCACTCTTCATTTTCGTTCCTGCTATATTCAAAAGGAAGTACTTTACTGTGTACTTTGTGAGTAATCCTCTGTCAGAGTCCCTTCCGTAGGCTATAATGCATGTTTTATGCTATCTTTGATGAATGATAAAAAGACAATTTTACCATAAGTTCTTAATGATATTGAGACTGCTGGACTCAGTATTCTTATATCTACTATCACAATACATTGAAGTACTTCTAGTGTGTGTGTTTTTTTTTTAAATCCTCTGTCAAAGTCCCTTCCTGAGAACCTAATCAAGCCACTTCTGCTAAGTTTGATGAGGGAAAAACAATTTGTTTTGCCATTAGTTCTTCGTGAGATTGATACTGTTGGACTCAGTACTAGTCCCACAAGTACTATGAAGTACTTTTACTGTGTACTTTTTGAGTAATCCTCTGTCAATGTCCCCTCCTGACTCCTGAGTACAATAATGCATGTTTCTCTGCTATTTTGAATAAGCGTTAAAACACCTTTCTTATGAGACTGATATTGTTGGACAGAGTACTTTAAGAGGACGGTACATGGTAGACATGATATCAGCAATACTTCCAGTCAGTACTCTGGCAGCAGCATGTTTACCCCTTGGAAAGTCTTTAGAGTCTGGCCTGGATATAGCTGGTCACAAATATCCTTCAGCAAAGGGACAAACCCTTGTGACTCTTGTTGGCCTCTTATGGGGCTGCTGTCTTTTAAATAGGATTATTTTTCTGCTCCTAGTTCATTCCTCTCAGATTCTTCCATCAGTCCCAGTCATTGCATGTCTGTCAATAGAGC